GCATGCATCATGGACGTACCGGCAACGTCCATGACCATGCCAATGCGGCGCTCAGCAATCCCATTTTGCTGCGGAGAGTCCGGAAGCGTAAAGGTCTGGCGGATGCCCTGTGCACGATAGTAGGCTCGTAGAAGGCCAGAGGAGAACTCTCCGCCTCGGTCAGAGTGCAGACGCAGAACAGGAAAGTCTGAGCCGAAGCTCCTCCTGAGCTGGAGACGAGCTGCGCGGATCCAGTCGATCAACACCTCAGTGACATCACCCTTGCTGCGCAAGGGGAAGACTGTGGTGAAACGCGAGTAGTCGTCAACCACCAGCAGAAAGTAGCGCTCGTGACCCTGTCCACGGACGCGGGCCTGGCCCCACACGTCCATGTGAAGCGTCTGCAGAGGAGCCTCTGTCGGAGGAAACTGTGAGGAGTGGGGGGCAGCCCGGAGGCGCCCCTCGACACAAGGGACACAGGAAGGTCCTGGCCCCGAAGGAAGGGGAGGGAGAGACCGGGGAAGACCAGAGACAAGGACACGGGAAGCCATGTCCCTGAGACGGGGCAAGGAGGGGTGGCCAAGACGGTGGTGCCAGAGGAGAGTCTCGTGAGACAGGAGGCGACACGAGCAGGGGGCAGACTCAGGACCAGACCTGGACGCAGCATCAAACACCTGACGCGACGCAGCTACCTGGCCAGTCACAGGGACAGGAGGAGACTCAGTGGTCAGGGTGTAGAGGCTCGACCCCGGCCGACGGGAGAACGTGGCCAGGTGCCGACCTGTGCGCGCGTCTGTGCAGTGGGTCACCCGCTGACTCGCAGGAGTAAACTTGTGAACCCCCGCATCCTGTAGGGCAGCACCACTCACCAAGTTCGTCGAGAACGAGGGGAGGTACAGACCAGACAGGGCGCCCGAGGGGGCAGCTGGACACGGTAGGACAGTGGAGAAGTGAGAGAGGACAGGACCCCCAGAGGGGTCAGCCAGGGAGACCGCAACCGGCCGGCCAAGCGGCGTGAGTGTGGTGCGGTTCCGAAAGAAGGAGCGAGAAGCCCCAGAGTCAAGTGTAAAGGTGAGGGAGGCCGAAGCCGACGTGGTACCTAAGAGCGCAGCCTCACCAGTACCTGAGAGCGCAGCCTCACCAGCACCCGAGAGCGCAGCAGTGTCACACGCACCTAGCGCAGCCGTACCAATGCCCGGGTTGGGCGGGAAACACCGGTAACAGTCACCCTCATCACTAGTAGACACAGCATACATGGCAGCAAGGATAGCATCAAAGTCTAGCTCAAAGATCGCCACACCAGCTCTAGAAAGGTCTCCTCAGCGGGGGATCTCAGAAGCGTCAGGGAACTGCTGACGCCAAGCGTCCGTCAGGCGGCCAAAGCAGCGCCGGGTGGAGTGGGCACCCCCACACTGCTCACCCGCGCGGTCGCCGCTGCGAAGAACGTAGGTGCACGGGCTAAAGCCTCCACCACTCTGACTCTGCGTGTACCACTCACGGAGTTGCTGAGGCGTGGGGACGTCCCGAGCACGCTGCTGCTGGTGCTGCCGCGGACCACCACTAGAGCCGCTCCGCTGCGGGGCACTACCCCGACCAGCTCCACCTCCTCCGCCACCACCGCCTCCACCTCCGCCACTACCACCGCCTCCGCTCCCACCGCCTCCGCCGCCACCACCTCCGCCGCCGCTGCCGCCGCCACCGCCACCACTCCCGCCACCACTCCCACCGCCACCCCCACTCCCTCCGCCGCCTCCACCGCCACCTCCACCGCCCCCGCCAGCTCCACCCGCGCCCTTGCCCCCCTTGCCCTTGCCAGGGCGGCGTCTCCCGCTAGGGGCAGACGCCGCGCCGACCGACTCAAGACCAAGCAGGTCGGCAGCAGCAGCAGAGGCAATAGAGGGCAGCAGGGGGGAAGGAGAACACCCCTCAAAGATGGGGGTGCGCGGGTCACCACGAGAGGCTCCTACAGCGACTATGCTCTTCTCCGCCGCTAGGAGGGCCTTCTCGAGGAGGTTGACAGTGAGGGTGGTGGGACAGACTGAGAGGAAGTGGTCCCTGACTACGCGAAGGGAGTGAGGGAGACGAGTGACTATGTAATAGAGAGCAATGTACATGGGGGGGGGGTTCTTGGCGCAGAGATCAGCAGCAAGGGCGGCGCGGTAGCGAGTGTCACTAGTGCGGAGGTGCGTAATGAGGTCAGCGATAGTGGGAAAGGCAGTGAGATCAGGAAAGAGGTACGGTAGCATGAGACGGCTTTGTGCAGCAGTGGCAGGAGAAGAGTAGTGCGCAACGACAGCGTCGTACAAGGTCTGAGCACTCTTGTACTGACTAAAGTGCGCGCGCTCAGTGGTGGGCAAGTGGCGACGCACAGCAAGACGTGCAGCAGCATCGCGGGTGGCCCACTGAGAGCGAACAGTGGGGTCAGCATCAGCAGCAGGAGCAGGAGAGGCGCCAGAGGTGAGGTCAAAGAGGGAAAGACCGTCCGCCCTATCGCACTGTAAAAACAACTGCAAGTCGTCGACCCAGACCTCAAAGTCAATGGCTCGACCCTCAGCGTCAAAAGCGAGGACACTGGGGGTAGCCATGACGACAGACTAGCAGTGCAAGCAGTGGGGAAGGGCACGGAGTAGCACTGGGGCGGTGCCATGCTCACCAGATAGGGCAGGTCGGGCGGTCCGGTAGTAGGGCGGCTCGGCAGCTCCTGGGCGGCTCGGCTGCTGCTGGGCGGCTCGGGTGCTGCGGGGCGGCTCGGCTGCTGCTGGGCGGCTCGGCAGTTGCTGGGCGGCTCGGCGGCTCCTGGGCGGCTCGGCTGCTGCTGGGCGGCTCGGCTGCTGCTGGGCGGCTCGGCAGCTCCTGGGCGGCTCGGCTGCTGCTGGGCGGCTCGGGTGCTGCGGGGCGGCTCGGCTGCTGCTGGGCGGCTCGGCAGTTGCTGGGCGGCTCGGCGGCTCCTGGGCGGCTCGGCTGCTGCTGGGCGGCTCGGCTGGTGCTGGGCAGCTCGGCTGATGCTGGGCGGCTCGGCTGATGCCGGGCGGCTAGGCTGCTGGTGGCTCGGTAGGGCGGCGGGTGGGCCGCAGGTAGGGCGGCGGGTGGGCCGCAGGTAGGGCTGCGGGTGGGCCGCAGGTAGGGCGGCGGGTGGGCCGCAGGTAGGGCGGCGGAGGGCCGCAGGTAGGGCGGCGGAGGGCCGCAGGTAGGGCGGCGGTAGGGCCGCAGGTAGGGCGGCGGGTGGGCCGCAGGTAGGGCGGCGGAGGGCCGCAGGTAGGGCGGCGGTGGGGCCGCAGGTAGGGCGGCGGGTGGGCCGCAGGTAGGGCGGCAAAGGGCCGCAGGTAGGGCGGCGGGTGGGCCGCAGGTAGGGCGGCGAAGGTCCGCAAGTAGGGCGGCGGTAGGGCCGCGTAGGTGAGGCGGCGGGGCCGCGACGTAGGGGCGGCGGAGCCGCGTAGGTGGGGGCGGCAGGGGCCGCGTAGGTAAGGGCGGCGGGGCCGCTCAGGTAAGGGCGGCGGGGCCGCGTTGCTGAGGCGGCGGGGCCGCGTAGGTTGGGCGGCGGGGCCGCGTAGGTGAGGCGGCAGGGCCGCGTAGGTGAGGCGGGGGGGCCTCGATGTAGGGGCGGCGGAGCCGCGTAGGTGAGGGTGGCAGGGGCCGCGTAGGTAAGGGCGGCGGGGCCGCTCAGGTTAGGGCGGCAGGGCCGCGTTGCTGAGGCGGCGGGGCCGCGACGGAAGGGCGGCGGGGCCGCGTAGGTGAGGGCGGCACAACGGGCCGCTAGGGGCGACACGGAGGGTCGCTAAAAAAAAAAAGGGCGCGCCTCGGGGCGCGCTTCGGTGGGCCCTAGAAACAGTCCCTAGGAGGGGACCTGCTCTGATACTATGTGAAGAATGAGAACGAGGATGAATGAACTATGAATGAAGTGAGTACATATAGGAAACCCTAATTGGGTTGTACCCCCTATGGGATACCCCACTAAAGCCTACACAACAGCATAAGCTATAATGTTCTGACACCTACTTGTACCCACCTCTTTCGTAGTTCATTCATTCCTCATTATTTCACATGGTATAGAGCAGGTTCCCTAGTGGGAACGCTTCCTTGGGCCCACCACTGAATTTTTTTTCTGACCGGAGCGCCAGACGCTTCTGCCCGAGGCGCGCCTTGTAGGCCGCCCTTCCGTCGAGGTCCCTTAGAGGCCCCTCCCACATCCCCCCGTGCCGCCCCTCGCAGCCCCGTCGCCGCACCTACGCGGCCCCGAAGCCGCCCCTACGCGGCCCCGTCGCCGCCCCTACGCGGCCCCGTCGCCGCCCCTAGTGGCCCCGTCGCCGCCCCTAGCGGCCCCGTCGCCGCCTCTTCCCCTACGCGGCCCCGTCGCCGCCCCTAAACGACCACGTCGCCGCCCCTAGCGGCCCCGTCGCCGCCTCTCCCCCTACGCGGCCCCATCGCCGCCCCTAAGCGGCCACGTCGCCGCCCCTACGCGGCCCCGTCACCGTCCCTAGCGGCCCCGTCGCCGCCTCCCTACCTACGCAGCCCCGTCGCCGCCCCTACGCGGCCCCGTCGCCGCCTCCCTACCTACACGACCCTGTCGCCGCTCCTACGCGGCCCCGTCGCCGCCTCCATACCTACGCGGCCCCGTCGCCGCCCCTAGCGGCCCCGTCGCCGCCCCTACGCGGCCACGTTGCCGCCCCTAGCAGCCTCGTCGCCGCCCCTAGCGGCCCCTTCACCGCTGAGCCGCCCAGCAGCTGAGCAGCTGAACCACCAAGCCGCCGAGCCGCCCAGAAGTCGACCCGCAGAGCAGCCGAGCCGCCCAGCAACCGAGCCGCCGAGCCGCCCAGCAGCCGAGCCGCCGAGCCGCCCAGCAGCAAAGCCGCCGAGCTGCCTAGCCGCCCAACAGCCCAGCCGTCGAGCCGCCCAGCAGCCAAGGCGCCCAGCCGCCCAGCCGCCGAGATGCCCTGCCGTCGAGCCTCTACTGCTCCTACCGCCGCGCCCCGGCCCTACTTACTCGGACTGATGAGATCACTCCCTGCTAGGCCACTGCAGTCATGGCTACCCCCAGTGTCCTTACCTTTGACGCTGAGGGTCGTGCTGTTCACTTTGAGGTCTGGGTCGATGACCTACAGCTCTTCCTACAGTGCGATAGGGCAGACGGTCTCTCCCTGTTCAATCTCACCTCTAGTGTCTCTCCTGCCCCGCCTGCTACTGCTGACAGCACTGTTCGCTCACAGTGGGCCACACGCGATGCTGCTACCCGCCTTGCTGCGCATCGCCACTTACCGACCACTGAGCATGCGCACTTTAGCCAGTACAAGAGTGCTAAGACCTTGTACGACGCTGTAGTTGCACGCTACTCCTCCCTTGCCACTTCTGCGCTTAGCCGCCTCATGCAGCTGTAACTGTTCCTTGACCATGCTGCATTTCCCACAGTCGCTGACCTCATTACGCACCTTTGCACTAGTGACACTCGCTACCGCGCTGCGCTTCCTGCTGAGTTCTGTGCCAAGAACCCCCCCCCCCCATGTACATCACCCTCTAGTACATAATCAACCGGCTCCTTGACTCCCTTCGCTTAGTCACGGACCACTTCCTCTCAGTTTGCCTCACCACACTCACCGTTGACCTCCTCGAGAAGTGCCTCCTAGCAGCAGAAAAGATCATAGTCGCTGTAGGAGCCTCTCGTGGTGACCCTTGCACCCCCGTCTTTGAGGGGTGTTCCCCCTCCCGCCTCTTGCCCTCTGTTGCCTCCGCTGCTGCGGCCGACCTCATTGGTTTCCAGTCAGTCGGCGCTACGTCTGCCCCTAGCGGGAGACGCCGCACCGGCAAGGGCAAGGGGGGCAAGGGCGCTAGAGGGGCTGGCGAGGGCAGTGGAGGAGGTGGTGGAGGCAGTGGAGGGGGTGGGGGTGGTTGTGGGAGTGGTGGCGGGGGTGGAGGTGTCGGTGGCAGCAGTGGAGGCGGTGGAGGCGGCGGCGGTGGCGGAGGGAGCGGAGGCGGCGGAGGTGGCGGAGGTGGCGGAGGCGGCAGAGGTGGCGGAGGCGGCGGCAGCAGTGGTGGAGCTGGTCGCGGCTCTGCGCAGAGGAGTGGCTCCGGTGGTGGTCCGCGCTAGCAGCACTAGTGCAGTCGTGAGACCCTGTCCCCTCTGCAGCTTCGTGAGTGGTACGCTGCGCGTTAGCGTGGTGGGGGTACTGGTCCCTGCACCTACGTCCTCCGCACCGGCGACCACGTTGGTGAGCAGTGCGAGGGCCCGCACTCCACCCAGCGCTACTTCGGCCGCCTGACGAACGCGTGGCGTCACCAGTTCCCTAAGGCCTCGGAGATCCCTCGCTGGGGAGAGCTGTCTAGGGCGGGGGTTGCTATCTTTGATCTTGACTATGATGCTATTCTTGCTGCCATGTATGCTGTGTCTGATAGTGTTGAGGGTGACTGTTACCTGTCTGTTCCGCCTGACCCGAGCATTGAGGCTGCTGCTCTAGGTGCTGGTGAGGCTGATGCTCTAGGTGCTAGTGCGTCTGCTGCCCCAGGTGCTGGTGAGTCTGCTCTCTCAGGTACTACGTCGGCTCAGGCCGTAGACACCTTCACCCTTGACTCGGGTGCTTCCCGCTCCTTCTTTTGAGACCGCACCACACTTACGCCACTTAGTCGGCCGGTTGCAGTCTCCCTGGCGGACCCCTCTGGGGGACCTGTCCTCGCTAGCTTCTCCACTTTCTTACCGTGCCTTGCAACCCCCTCTGGCACCCTGTCCAGTCTCTGCCTCCCCTCGTTCTCTACAAACTTGGTGAGTGGAGCTGACCTACAGGATAGGGGAGTTGACCAGTTCACTCCTGCGAGTCAGCGGGTGACCCACTGCACGTGTGCTCGGACAGGCCGACACTTGGCCACGTTCACCCGTTGGCCGGGGTCGAGCGTGTACACGCAAACTACTGAGTCTCCTACGACTGCTGAGTCTGGTCAGGTAGCTGCGTTGAGTGAGGTGTTTGCTGCAGCGTCCAGGTCTGGTCCTGAGTGTGCTCCTTGCTTGTGTCGTCTCCTATCCCACCAGACTCTCCTTTCGCACCACCGCCTTGGTCACCCCTCCCTGCCTCGTCTCCGAGGCATGGCCTCCCGTGTCCTTGTCTCTGGTGTGTCAGAATGTTATCTTATGCTCTAGCATGTAGTGGGGTGCTCTATAACGAGTACAACCCTTCTAGGGTTTTGCTATTTGTATCCTCATTCTTGCTAGTTCAACCCTCTTCTTTCTTCTAACTTTGTCATGCTATCAGAGCAGGTCGATCCCCTTGGATCGATCCTGTGGGTGGGTTACCACCTCCACGCTTCCGCTACAATTTTTCCTTCCCGCCGTACGCCCCGAGGCGCGTGGCGGTTTTCTGCCCGCCGTGCGCCCCGAGGCGCGCGGCGGTTTTCTGCGCGCCGTGCGCCCCGAGGCGCGCGGCGGTTCTCTGCCTGTTGTGCGCCCCGAGGCGCGCGGCGGGCTTCTGCCCCGTCGTTCGCCGCGTCCCCCTCTGGAGGCGCCGCGACGGGCGACGGGGACCCGTCGCGGCCCCACCGCCCCACTTCGCGGCCTCGCCGCCTTACGTCACGGCCCCGCCGCCTTACGCTCGCGGCCCGCCGCCCCACTTCGCGGCCCCGCCGCCTCACGTCGCGGCCCCGCCGCCCCACTTCGCGGCCCCGCCCCCCTTCTGTCGCGGCCTCGCCGTCCCACCTTCGCGGCCCCGCCGCCCTACACCTGTGGCCCTACCGCCCTCCTTGCGCCCCGGCACCATTTCCCGTCGCCGGTCGAGGCGACCCTCGGGGGCCGCGGGGGAGGGGGGCGAGCGCCGCCATCCCACCCTGCCTACCCGCCATCCCACCCTGTCAGTGTTAGGGTTTGGGGGTGGCAAGTAGGGGGTGGCGAGTATGGGGGTGGCATTTCCTCGTTCCTCCCTTTGCTCCTCCTCCTCCTTCGTCTCCCACTGTTGCAGCTGTCGCTGAGGGGGGTGGATGTGTGGGAGACTGGGGTTTAGGGTTTAAGGGGGGTGCGTGGGAGTGGAGCTAGGGGTGAAGCAGCGGGTGTGTGTTTGGGAAGTGGGACTGTTTGGGGAAGTTGCACGGAGGATGCCGTCGTGTCGCCAGCAGCACCTGTAGTCCGGCAACTTTGTCCGGTAGCCCAGTTGTAGCCAGCTGTGCCAGCCGCCCCTGGGTCCGTTGCTCGTCTGCCGCTATTTTAGCCGCGGGGCCTGTTACTCCTGTATTCCGGGGGCTTCGCCCGGTAGCCGCTGTGCCAGTCTGCCTCCTGTTGCCCGTGTGTCTGCAGCTTCAGCCGTCGCCTCCTATCTCCTCTCCCCTCACTCTCTCTCCTCCTCACTTGCCCGTTGTGACTACCACTAGCTTTGCTCATAATTGTGAACTCTAAACTATTGCTTCTTCAACTTGTGCTCAGAGTGTGTGGTGACATTGTGATCCACCCTGAGCTTGTACTGCTTTGCTTGCTCTGCTGATTACACCCCACTTTGGCTATGGGGGTGTGTCAGAATGTTATCTTATGCTCTAGCCTGTAGTGGGGTGCTCTATAGCGAGTACAACCCTTCTAGGGTTTTGCTATTTGTATCCTCATTCCTGCTAGTTCAACCCTCTTCTTTCTTCTAACTTTGTCATGGTCTCCCCCGGTCTCTCCCTCCCCAACCTCCGGGGCCTGCCCCTACCTGCGTCCCCTGCATCGAGGGGCGACAGCGCGCCGCCCCTCACTCCTCAGAGTTTCCTCCGACAGAGGCTCCGCTACAGACTCTTCACATGGACGTGTGGGGCCCTGCCCGCATCCGTGGTTAGGGTCACGAGCGTTACTTCCTGTTGGTGGTTGACGACTACTCGCGTTACACCACAGTCTTCCCCTAGCGCAGCAAGGGTGACGTGACTGAGATGTTCATCGACTGGATCCGCGCAACTCGTCTCCAGCTCAAAGAGAGTTTCGGCTCGGATTTTCCTGTTCTGCGTGTGCACTCTGACAGAGGCAGGGAGTTTTCCTTTGCCCGTCAGGGAGCCTTCTGTCGAGCATAGGGCATCCGCCAGACCTCACGCTTCCGGCCTCTCCACAACAAAATGGGATTGCTGAGCGCCGCATTGGCATGGTCATGGACGTCGCTCGTACGTCCATGATCCATGCGGCTGCCCCCCATTTTCTGTGGCCGTTTGCGATTCAGTACGCGGCGCATCAGATCAACCTCCAGCCCCGGGTCTCTTTGCCAGAGACTTCCCCCACCTTACGGTGGACGGGAAAGGTTGGCGATGTGTTTGCGTTTCGGGTCTGGGGATCTCGGGCGTTTGTTTGCGACTTGTTTGCGGACAAGCTGTCGCCCCGTGCTGTTCCCTGCGTCTTCCTTGGCTTCCCCCCTGACGCGCCTGGATGGTAGTTTTACCACCCCACCTCGCGACGTGTTCTGTCCTCCCAAGACGTCACCTTTGACGAGTCGGTGCCTTACTGCTATCTCTTCCCCTACCGCATTGCACCCCTCCCCGAACCGCCGCTCTTCCTTGCGCCAAGCCCTCCCCCGGTAGACCCCCTCCCCCTTCAGGGTCCTGCCCCGTCAGGTGTGTCCCAGGTAGACGCAGTCGAGCCTGTCAACGTAGCTGTTGACTCTGTTGCTGCTACAGGTGCTGAGCCTGCGGGTGCTGGGTCTGGAGGTGTTGGACGTGAGGGTGCGGAGCCTGGGGGTGCTGAGTTGAGGGGTGCTGAGCCTGGGGGTGCTGAGTCTGGGGGTGCTGAGCGTGGGAGTGCTGAGTCTGGGGGTGCTGAGCCTGGGGGTGCGGAACCTTGGGGGTGCTGGGTCTGCTCGTGTGGCTGCTCGCGATGCTTCGTCGAGGCGGGAGCCACTCTCTCCATAGGAGCTGCGCGAGTGGTTTGCCTGGCGATGGAGCCGTGCTGCTAGAGCTAGAGGTAGTACTGTTGGTGCTGGTCCCGGAGGTACTCGTACTAGCGGTGCTGGAGCTGCTGGGTCTGGGGGTGCTACTTCGGCTGCTGGAGCTGGTCCTGCTGGAGGTACTGCTGGAGCTGCTGGCGGTACTGGAGCTGCCGGCCCTGTTGGAGCTGGAGCTGCTAGGGCTGTTGGCGCTGGTGGTTGTGCTGGCGCTGGTGCTTCTGAGGGTGCTGGAGTTGGCGCTGTTGGAGCTGGAGGTACTGCTGGCGCTGGTGCTGCCGCTGGGGATACTGGAGCTGTCCCTACTGGTTCTAGAGGCACTGCGCGGCCGCGGCCGTACTTCGTTCCGCTCCTTGAGTAGGTTCTTGGTCTCCCGCCTTCTACTAGTCCTGCCCCTCCCTTAGGGTGTCTGTAGCTTGTCCAGCCGCAGTCACAGTTACAGCCTGCCTCCCCACTACCTGCTCCTTCTCCCTACACTGGTCCTATTGGAGGTCTTGCGGAGCGTCGTGAGCCTGCGTCTCGTCCTGCGTTGCTTGTTCGTGCTGCTCGCACTAGTAGTCGTGCTCCGCGTCCGCGTCCTCTTGCCGTCCCAGGCACACACAAGATGTGGCTGCGTCCTTCCACTACTCCTCTGCGTGTCCCGTTGCCGTCTCTTCCAGAGTCATCTCTTCCTGTCCTTGCTGACCCGGAGTCTGACTCTCTTCGTGCTGCCAGTCCTACTATCACACGTCTCCTGGCTATTGTTGTCACTGACCCTTCCTTTGAGTCCACTACTGCGTCTGCCTTGGTGGCTGAGCTTGTCAACTTCACTGCTCGCTGTCGTCTAGACTATGCCACTGGTCTTGTTGCTGAGTCTGAGTCTGTCTATTCTCCGTCCGTCGGGGGTGAGTGTGCTCTTAGCACCGACGTCCTTGAGGACAGGCAGGAGGAGTTCCAGTGTTTTGGTGCTGCTTTGCCTCATCTTGTGTCCACGCTGATTGCCCCTGTGGGAGATCCGAATGCACCAGACATCCCGACTCCTCGATCATACGCTGAGGCGATCAAGGGTCCCTACTCCTCTTAGTGGCAGTCAGCCATGGACGCAGAGATGGCTTCTTGGAAGTCCACAGGCACCTACATCAACGAGGTTCCCCCACCTGGGGCGAACATCGACAGTGGCATGTGGATTTTCAGCGTGCAGCAGCCGCCGGGTTCTTCGCCTGTCTTCAAGGCGCGTTACGTGGCTCGAGGCTTCAGTCGGCGGCAGGGAGTTGACTACTTTCAGACCTTCTCTCCCACCTCGAAGATGACCACTCTTCGGGTGCTGCTGGACATAGCCGCGCATCGCGACTACGAGCTCCACTCTCTTGACTTCAGCACAAATTTCTTGCAGGGCAGCTTGCACGAGGAGATCTAGCTGCGCCGCCCACCTGGCTTCACTGGGTCGTTTCCTCCAGGTACCCAGTGGAGCCTCCGATGGCCAGTCTACGGTCTCCGCTAGGCGCCCCGTGAGTGGCACAACACACTGAGGACTACACTTGCGGCTCTTGGGTTTGCTCCTTCTACAGCCGACCCATCGCTGTTTCTGCGCACCAACACCTCTTTGCCGCCGTTCTACATCCTCGTGTACGTCGACGACTTGGTCTTTGCCACTGTTGACACTGCTGGACTCGCCCACGTGAAGTCCGAGCTGCAGAAGAGACATACGTGCACAAATTTGGGTGAACTGCGCACCTTCCTTGGCTTG